GTGCGTCACAGTTACATTTGCAAACGATAGAGACGTAAATGTATACATCTAAAATTCAAATGACACAACATCCACAGATCCACTAAGAGAAAAATTATGATAAAATAAGTGTCCTAATTAGCTTGTCATGAAAGGAATGACCAGAAACTCAAATCTAATCACCAAACGTGTTGTCGAACATACAAAACATCAACATCAACATCAACATCAACAATTATATCAAGGATGGTGCATCAACTAAAGTAACTACCAATATCATGCCATAAACATATTCTTGTACAAACCAAACCAGTGTTGAGTTTGATCGGCTAATTTGAACTCAAGTGCTCACGACATTGTTTTTCCTGTGAAGTTTAAAACCCCAAAGAAACATGCACTCATCACACATTTCTTTCATCAACTACGTTGTTCCCTTTAACTGAACTTGAGTTATGTTTGAGCTTTGACTTAATTGCATACGGGAGCATAATTTGTAATAGGCTCTAGATCTGCAACCGAAGTAGAGTGCTACTTGCTAACATGGTGTCATCTACAAGAAGTCCTGGTCAGTGGACCCACGGCAGTCTCAATCCATATTCAAATTTAGAACTGATACATTCTGTTTTTTATGTTTGCAAATAAAAACAATTCATTGATCTTTTTTCATATGGATGATTTCAATACCAACTGGAGGCAAAAGGTATAGTAGCAGCAGCAACAGTACATATAGTAGTAGTAGTAGTAGTAGTAGTAGTAGTAGTAGCTTTTATAGTAGTAGTTGTTGTTGTTGTTATTGTAGTGGTAGTAGATCGATGCTTATGATGTAAATCACTGGATTTTCTGATCCAGGCTCGATTATTTACATACCGTTGTCATATACCTGGAATATTGCTGAGTGCAGGGTCAAACAAACTACTTATTGTCTTGCTGTGTTGTTAAACGCTGTCTGACACATTGGAGGCCAATTAGTGATAAATCGTAGGCTTACAGTGGTTATAAGTTAAGTTACGTTAATAAGGTTAACTTATATATTAAATCGAATGTTTGACACAAACTCAGGACTAAACATTTCATGGTCCAAATATTCTACAATGCTTTCTGCAAAAATGTGTTTAATTTGGAGTAAATGACGTGGGATAGATTCTTGGCCCGGGGCAATACGTTCGACGCTATTGTGATTACCCTCGGTGTCGAGGCTTAAATCTTTAATGCGATGTGGTATACATGAAAGTATGCTAATTTACAGCTTCAGCTTCGACCTGAATGGTCTATAATTACTTTAATGAAGTATCCCATAAACGTTGTGTTGAATGCATTAGTTTTGTTGCATTGACATGCAAGCAGTTGAAGATTGAATTGAGTAACCTCCCGAATGGATGTGAAGAATTGATTATTGAATTGAGTACGTATGCAAATGTGAAATAACACGTAGTCACATAAACCGTGAAACAATGTCCCGCCAGAACCCCTTCACGCATCTCTGGGAATACCACTTACATGAAATTCATAAATATTTTTTAGTAAAGTTATTTTTGAAATATGCACATAGTCAGGATACATAGATACTAAATATGATAGTTGTTAAAATGATATTTTCGGCCATCGCCTATACAATCGTGTACAGTTATTCAAGTGGGAAACAACTGATCAGTGTATGTATATTTTTACTAGACAAACATTGCTGATGCTTTGTTGTAAAGGTCTCCTCGGAGCTTGCCATCTGGAAAAGCTATCCCCTATATTATCAAACAATAAAACACGTTGCATGTTTTGATTTGATTTGATTTGTGAGGTGAGGTGAGGTGAGGTGAAATTGGTTTTACCGTCGCGTCCAAGATTATTGCACTTATATATATTGCACGTATGTGTGTGTGTGGCTGCTTGTACTAGTCCGGACTGATGCCGATTAATAGTGCTAGCTGACTGATCATGAGAAACCATGCCGCAGTTTAACATGAATACCCCACTCAGACACAGTATACTGACTCCGAGCCGACCATTCCTTATTTTAGCCCCTTAATGCTGAGCCCCAGACAGGGTAACAACAAGTACCATCTTTTAAAGTCTTTGGTATGACGCGGCCGGGGATCGAACCCCGGACCTTCCGCTCTCCAGGCGGACGCTCTACCACTAGACCACGGAGGCGGTCGTTTTTATTTGTGACCTTCATGTATTCGTTAATACTTTTATCATGATATATGGGGAAAACATAGGGATTGTGCCGTGTAAAGAAAGGTGCTTTATATTTCTTGACATGAAAAAATGAATCTTTTGTTTTAATGCCGCGAAAATTATTTTTGGCATTTTTAATGAATATGAAAGATCGTGATATTCATGATTTCCAGTTTCATCGTAAATCGTTGATGTACAAACTGACCCATGTAGATTTCAATTTTACATCCAAATCAGCGCAGGGTTGTACAATCTCTACATAGGCAGTTCTTTAGGCGTAGCAGAGCCGAGGTGAGGTGAGTTGAGTTTAAATGGGATTTTAACGTCATGTTCACGATTATTTTACTTATACAGCTACCTGCATGCACGTGTGTGGCTGCTTGTACTAATGCAGACTTATGACGGTTTAGGGCACTGATATACCATGGCGCAGTGTATAACGGATACTCCACTCAGACACATTATTCTGACTGAATTCCGACCAGTCCCGTTTCATCCATTAAATGCCGAGCACAAGTACTGTCGTTGTTAACGCAGTCAAGAGGTCAAGCCACCGACATTCCGCTGTCCAGACAGAGGCTAAAACACCAACACGATATATTCCCTTCGAGGGATGAAATAGTAACAAAGTGACGTTTGTGGTCTTCATCCTTCTAAAAAGGTTACCTACTATAATTAAAAAACCTTTGCGGAAGTACGATTGCTCTTGCAAGGTGGATATATAGGGCATACATACATTCAAACAGCGTTGTGTCGAAGTTGAAGGGACCTACGTAAATGTTTCGAGTTGTCCGAGGTTCGACAAAACCTAACATGGTAAATAAAGAATGAATATGGAGGGATCATGCTTTTTCTGATAGACAACCGAAAGTTCGACACATCAAAGTTCGACACAACGGTGTTTGACTGTACATGTATTGTGTGTTTACCGTCGTGATAGTATTTTCGTAGTTTTCCGTCGGCTTGTCGTTTGACAGACACATATGTCGATGTTTCATATAATCGGGACCTTGCGGCTATTTCGAGTAGAAAATATCCCCAGTATCTAATGACTGTCGAAAGAGTGGGTGATCATGCCCTGTTTGCCTGATTGCGAGTCATCCTCCCCGATAACATGGACCATTTCTCAGTCACTTGTTTGTATGAGTACAATGCCTGAAGCCACCTCTTGTCCCCGCCGTGATATTACTTGAATGGTGTTGAATGCGTCGTTAAACAACATTTGCCAATTAAATTCAATCGCATGACACAGACCTGAAATTGGCTCACGCTTGAATTTGTTGATGGATGCAAAAACAATTGCAAACACCGACAAAAACTAGTGAAGTGCTTGCAATAACAGTAAGAATTTAGCACAGAATTAGTTTAAGCTGGTCAGAGAAGCAAACGAAATTTTTAGTTGTAAAGCAGTGGCCCATCGTTCATGCGCATTGCCCGAAACACACATTCAAAGATATTATTATTCTTCCTTGAATTTGGAAAATACTCGATTCTGACTGGTCAACCAGAGGTTTCAAATCACAATAAGCACCTTTGAATAAAACCGCTGATTAACGTCCGCATCACTACGAAAGCATATATTGATAGGAAAGTATTTCATCCTTAATAATTGTCGGTAGGATATTTCGAAATAATGACACGCACATTTATTGGTTACAAAATGCTGTGTTTTTTCACGTATGATTGTGAATACATTTTGTTCAGAAAACTCGATCGAATAAGGAGGGTGTATTCCAAGTTTAAGGGACGATAGAGAGGTTGGAATTTGACGCTTTTTGCTTTTGCGTAACGATGAGCGGACTGACGTCATAATAGTGACCTGTGGTCTAGAATTAAAACTCATAAAAGTAGCTTTAGCTTCTTTAGGTCTCGAAATACCTTTCCGAAACGGCTATGCTGCAAACGTTCAATACCTGTATTATATGTGATTAAAGTATAATGAAATAAAAAGCCTATGTTTGAACCTATATTGCGCCATACTTTGTTGATAGGTGTTTTATGTAACAGTTATTAAGTTGAATGCATCTTACTAAAAGCACAAGACATACAAATATGTATTTTAGAAATGCAATGAAAGCGGCGGACGACCAACAACGTTAACTGGTTATAGTGTGTGAGTGAGTTTAATACCACATTGAAAAGTATTTGTGTTATATCACGAGTGTCAGCTCCATGTGGAAGAACGCCCGAAGTGATGTAGGTCTCAGACGTTTACCACTTTATTGAAACCAACCAAAACAGATATGGTGTTGGTAAAGCTTTTAACATAATCAGGGCGAATCTGGTATTTGAGGCCCAGACCACAGGATTCGGCACGCCTAAGAAACGAAACTCAGAAGACTGGGCCACCTGTGATCCCTCATCATATGCTACGTTCGATACCCTAAATATGTTTCCTGTCCCTCGCTTTGTCATTGCCACAAACCTGCTAAACTTGCCATGGACTATATGAAAGTATGAAGGTAAAACTACTGTTATATATTATATAAGGTGAGGTGACGGAGTTTAACGTCAGCTTCAAGATTATTGCGCTAAAAAAGTGACGTGCATGCACGCGCGCAAGCGTGCGTGCGTCAGTGTATGTGTGTGTGTGTGTGGCTGCTTGTAATAGTCCGGAACCATGACGATTTTATAGTGCTGGCTCACTGAGATACCATGCCGCAGTGTAACATGATTATCTACTTAGAAATATTATACTGACTCCGAGCCGACCAGTCCTTTGTTTTATCAGGGTAACAGGTAACAACATGTGCCACATTTGAAAGTGTCCTTGTATAACGCGGCCAGGGGAAGAGTTCTATAGAATATTCGTTACATGTAATACAACGACCAAAATATGCACAGTGATTGACTAATACAACATGAATGTAACGTCAGATTTATTGTCCATTCGTAAATGGATACAAAAACATATCAATAAAGTACAAAAACATTCAGGAATCAGGCATCACAAGCATACGTCCCTAGTGGTAGTAATAGGGACTGGCTTTGCCCACGAACGACCCAGCAACTCCATGACCAACAAAGGGTCCACCCTGTCCATAAACGCCGTGTCCGGAAACTCCGTGTCCGACGAAAGGTCCATGTCCAGCAAATCCATTTCCTACAAGACCAGCTCCATGTCCGACGTTCTTACCGTAGCCGTAGTTGTTGTTGTAGGGGTTGTAGCCGTAGCCATGTCCCTGACCAGCAACACCGTGTCCGACTGCGAAGGGCCCTGCGAGGCCGTGTCCGGCGTGTCCAAGGAGTCCATTTCCTACAAGACCAACTCCATTCCCAACTCCGTTGTAGGTGTTGTAGCCGTAGCCGTGTCCCTTTCCAGCAACGCCGTTCTCACCAACGAAAGGTCCGTGTCCATGTCCAACAAGACCAACTCCATGTCCAGCAACGAAGGGACCGGCAACACCGACCTTCCCTACGCCTTTACCGTAGCCATAGTTGTTATAGTTGTAGGGAGTGTAGCTGTTGCCGTAAACCTTTCCAACACCAACGTTGCCAACGCCTTTACCGTAGCCATAGCCATTGTAACCATGGTTCCTGTTGTATGGGTTGTAGCCATAGCCTGTACCAGCAACACCGACAGTGCCGACTCCGACGGATCCAGTTTCTAAAGGCACTTGGGCCAAGGCAGAGGCGACTAGTACAGACAACACAGCGATGACGACCTGATTATAAGAAAACATTGGAGTTTGAGAACTTTATACTTTAAACACCTTCATACAAATGTTAATTGTCATATCAACTGTATCCATTGGAATATGGAATGGTTGGACCCTTTGATGTATACAAAGTGACGTTAATCCGTTACCATCTTTTGCTAATCTGGAAAAGTGTACCGATTAATGTAGTTTCACGGTACATAAATATGAATTAATTTTTGTGTTCAATTTTTCGTTTCCATTCCTTGTCAGTTCCTTATATAAAGCTTCCTTCACCTGGTTACAAAGGGGGTGCTCATGTTTTGGACATACAATTTTAGTTAAGTATTTCATTTAAAGAAAGCTTCAAAATTAACTGAGAGACACTATTTCATGTTTGTATTACTGTAACGGTACAATAGTATCTTACCTTCATGATGAACAGACTTGACTAGACGATATACCAGTGTTGAGATGACTGATGCCACCAACATGGTGTTGCCTCAATATATACATCCTTAACAGGGTCACGTGATCGTTACACCAAGAGTTTTACTGTTAAGCGCGTATCACGTGACCGTATCGTATAAGAGAATATGTGAACAGTTTGGTAACACAGCATTGGTGATTCTATTAAATCAATCATCAAAGTCTTAAAGCTTCTAAAGTAAAATAATACAGTAGACAAACTTGTTCAATGTGAATGTTTTGATTAGTGATCCAGTGTTTAAATAAGTACTTGTGTTTAAAACTCACTTTCGTAAGGGGGTACAGTTACAATAGTGTTGTCATCATTAATATGTGAAGGTCAAGATCACTATCGCGATGACACTTGGATACAGAAGGAAATGCACAGAAACTGAGAACATACACACACACACGCACGCACCACACACACATTGTTTGATTCATGTACAATAAACCTGTAGTCCAGTACATTTCAGTGTTCAGTTTGATCAGCTAATTTGAACTCCTGCGTGTACTACATTGTCTTTCTCGAGAAGTTTACAGATAACAAGATACAGATTACTTGCATTTTACTTTGTCCCCTTTTCTTTATGTAACAGCACTAACAGATTCTGCAACCCAGGTCGCTTGTTACTTGCAAGCATGGTGTCATTTGCATAAAGTCCTGGCCATTGGACTTAATCCATATCCAAAATTAATGTAAAAACGATACATTATGTTTTATGTTTCCAAATTAAGATAAAACAATTCATGAATTTGCTGTTTTTACAAAGGTAATTCTAATGCCAGCTGGAGATAATAAGCTACAGTGGTATTTTGTGTGTGCACAATCAGGGGGTTGCAGTAAATCTACAATTTTGAGTGAAAATATGTCCATTTTAATTTAAATCTAAATTTGGGTATGGTTTGAAGTCGCTAGGGAAATTAGCTTTCAATATTACCTTTTTTCATTGTTTGGGATAAGGTACATCATTGAAAAGACAATTAAAATGCTTTCTTATGATATATTACATGACCATGTTGTCTAGAACTATATTAGATCTGATTTTGAAAACAGGTCATAATGTCGGCACAAATTCAAGATGGCCACCACAAATGCTCCCAGAAAACTTGAAACATCACTTTTCTTTATTAGTTTACTATTTTGGTGTTTTTAAACAATGTTACAATTATTCCACTCATCCACTACATCAACATAATCTACCACCATATCTCACCAAGCAATTTTCGTCAAAATTGTTTTTTGAGGGGTGGGGTAACATTGTATACAATATCTCAGCCCCTATGTAATATGTTTGCATTTTGTTCTTTGAATAGGATAGTACAATGGGTCAGGCAGATTTTAATACACAGTTATAGTGGTTTTATTGACACAATTCAATGGAATTAGTGTTTTACCTACTCACACGATTTGATAATGAAGTATAAACAACATTATTTTTATCAATGTTTCCACTGAGAATAAGAATAACAGTTAAATGAAACAAAATGTTTGCCATTTTTTCAGATAACCGAACACATTACCTTTAAGCAAAGACATAATTTGGATCGTTTAATGACTTAATAAAAATGGTACAGCCAATTTTGTCAAATTATGCATGTTCCCTTCAATTTATAAAATTTTGACCCCCTGAACATTTACGCACACACTTGCAAGCTTACTACCCAATGAAAATTGTGTACAGGTACCTCCTTTATGCAATAGAAAAGGTTTAAGGTACACAGGAAAATGTGGAAACGAAAATCGTGTTTTTCACCCCTGGCCAACTGACTATAAGCTGTCTGACCAGTGCCAGGTTTCCTTGTGAGAGAAGTCGTACTCATACAATGGTTTTAAGTAACATAGACAGCACCTGGAAATAGTTTGACATGCCAATTTATTGATATGTCTGCGTGAAATAGTGAACAAATATAATTGAAGAAAGAACTATTATATATTGAATGGAATGTTTGATTCAATCTAATTATGTCATTGTAAAAATATTCTACAATGTTGTCTATAAAAATGTGTTCAATTTGGAGTAAACATGTGATGACGTGGGATAGATTCCTCGCCTGGGGCAATACGTTCGACGCTGTTCTGACCGCACTCGGGATCAAGATCATATCCGCAGGCTTAAATCTTTAATGAGATGTGATATACATGAAGGTATGCATATTCACAGCTCCTTTCAACCTGGATGGTAAATTTAATTACGTTAATGAAATAGCCCATACACGTTGTCTTCAATGTATTAGTTTTGTTACTTCATCTTCACAAATGGATGTAAAGAATTGATTGCTGAATTGAGCAACCATGCTAATGCCAATGACTATGACATAACACGAAGTCACATAAATGGGGAAAAGTAACCCGTTAGTACCCCTTCATGTATCTCTGCAAATATCCATCAAATAGCTTACGATAGTTATTATAAGAATATTTTCGTCAATTATACAATCGGGTAATGCCACTTAAGGGTGAGAGCTATATTTTTTTTATCCAGCTTAAAATTTAAAACACAGTACATCAATTGGAACTGTCCCATACAAAGTTATTCAGCATAATTATACTTCAAACACATCAATATTTTATTTCAATCATCTAAAAAAAATATCGACAGATCTTTTGGAAATGTCTAAAAGTGACATTGATCTCATATTGAAAATTGTCTAAAAATACCAGAAAATATGAAACGTCAGCACCAGATATTAATTTGTGGAAAGATTCATTCCATTGGGCGAAAAGGCAAAATTGTGATGGAAACTATACGAATGGCTCACAATATTTGTTCCAGATGGTTGCAATTACCTAGTGATAAGAAGCTGGATGTGGAAGCATGTGAAAGGGCAGTCCCAAACACTACTGATATGGAACTTTTACACTCAAAACTATGTCATAAATCGACTTCGTTTTCTTTAAATTTCAATGTGAGTGTGTCATTTTGCAACAACAAAAAATATTCGATGTGTGCTACACAAAAATGTTAATACAGTACATGTGACTAGTTTCTATGGAAATGTATAGGAAGTGGAAACTTTGTTTCCTGTATAAATTATATATAATTTTATTTGTTATATCTTCATGATTTAGTCTACTCGATCAGTATATTATGGACACTAAAACTGAGTTATAAAACACAAATTCGCCAAATGATGTGGTCACGTGATGTTCATTTGCCAGTGTAACTCAGGGGGTAGTCTTCACGTGACCCTGCTAAGGATGTATATATGGAGGCACAATCACAGTGGTGGTATCAGTCATCTCAACCCTGGTGTCAAGTCTGTTCATCATGAAGGTAAGATAACTTCTAATCTAGGATCAAAGTCAGTTAGAGTTAATCCCGTTACCTCGGAATTCTTTAAAGGTAGCCATCGAGCGCCCATTCCAAGCCCTGCTTCATACGAACACGTGGCTTATAAATCATCGTGCTATTTTTATTTTCAACGTGTTTGTTTTTCACAAAAATCCAAACAAGGGTGTCTTGTGGAGAAAGGTATTTCCACCAAGATAAAGTTAAGTCGAAATTAACTTCAGCCGTTCTTAACTTGAAATTTACACTAATACATTATATACCGATTTCTTACTTTTTACTATTTATAGAAATATATATTTACTATTATAGAGCAAAATTTTGTTCTCAAACATGGAATCTAATATGATTTGGAAAAATATTTTCGTTATTATCAGATTATTTTTGTGATTCAAACTGCATTAGAACCGTTCTGTTATATTCAGGCCGTCGTCGCTGTGTTGTCCGTGCTAGTCGCCACTGTCCTGGCACAGAAGCCCCTCCGAGCCGGATCTTTCGGTGATGCTGGTAAAGGCTATGGGTACAACCCGTACAACGGTTACAATGACTATGGCTACGGTAAAGGCCTTGGCAACAAAGGTATTGCTGGTAAAGGTTACGGTTACGACTACAGCCCCAACAACTACAACACCTATGGCTATGGTAAAGATGTTGGGAAAGTTGCTGGGTATGGAGCTGGTCTTGTAGGACACGGACCTTTCGTCGGACAAGGAGTCTACGGACATGATGGCTTTGTTTTTGGACGTGGACCTTTCGTCGGAAACGTAGTTGCTGGTCAGGGACATGGGTACGGTTACAACCCCTACAACAACAACTACGGCTACGGTAAGAACGTCGGACATGGAGCTGGTCTTGTAGGAAATGGATTTGGTGGACACGGACCTTTCGTCGGACACGGCGTTGCCGGACATGGTGTTTATGGACATGGTGGACCCTTTGTTGGTCATGGAGTTGCTGGGTCGTTGGTGGGCAAAGCCAGTCCCTATTACTACCACTAGAGACGTATGCTTGTCTGATGTATGAATGTGTTTTATACTGGATCCATCGTTAAATTATCTTAACAAATAAAATTTCCTAAACATATATATTGTTGTATTTTTATTACAAGTTACGAATCATTGAGTGAGGTAGGTTTAACACCGCTTTGAACAGTTTTTCAGTCATTTAACGGCGTTTCAGTTGGGAAGAAAACACGAAGTGATACAAGTCTTTATTTCTTAGGCGAAAGCCTCGAGCACAGGTGTGGTGCTGACAATTCTAATAAATATAATCAAGTCTAACAGGAATTCGAACACACGATCACAGGTTTCTGGCACAAGTTACCGCAGATAATACAACTGACATACGGGTTCTTTCCTTTTAATACAAGGTTGACTATCTACTGCTAAAAAGTAATCTTAACATCTGCCTTTGCATATATTACGACTACATTGGCATCGGTATATCGGTGTGACGAGAGATGCATGCCAGAGAAGGTTTTTGCTGATTGTACTGATCGAGGTTCATTGGCAAACAGGGGGCAAGGGTGGCGCTATCGTCTGAGGCGCTGCAAAGAGCTATTACAGTTGTGCCAGGAATCTGTGGTCACGGGTTTAAATCCCAGTTCGCCCTGATTATGTTTCCAGGTTTGTCAGCGCCATTCCCTTGATCGTGGGTTTCAACAAAATGGGTAACGTCTAAAACCTGCTTTACTACAAGCTGATATAACTGACATGCGGCGTTAAACCACACCTCGTGTCATGGGATAACATGACCTAGCATCCCATATTGCACCCGCTTTGAACGTATTGATCCAGCGGTGGATCTCGGTTATTCTAACAACTGTATTGGTATGCAGCGAAACCCCATTGATCCGGACAGTACCTTTCCCAATGACATCGTCCAGAGGAAAGTATGTCCGTATTAACGTATCCTGCGTTCATAGAAATGTTCCTCAATTATATACTAGTACTTTGTATAGCCGTTCCCAACAGTCCAGAATAACAAGCTTACAGGGCATAATATATTCAAAATGTAAGCATATGTGTAGGTCATGCTATTATCAGTCGAAGTATATTGTGGCCAGGGTCTTGATCTTGGTTAAGATTAATCTTAACAACTTACATCCAAAGATAAGATATCTTAAGATTAAGCAATAATGCATTTTCGAACACGTCGCAGATCGTACAAGGCTACGACAGCTATCGTAACTCTGACAGAGAATTCATTTTGTGTTGGAGATGGAAAGAGTTGGATGTTTCTCAATGACGTCACGGGGATTTCCCAGCCGCTGCCATAACAACACGGATAAGTAACACGAAATTCATGTTCGCATTGTCAGGTCACATTGTTTAACACGCATCAACTTTCTACACAATGGCATTTGCGTGCCATGCAAAGACGTTTTTTTCAAACGCAAGAAATGTTATAATCAATAAGTGTAGTGTTACCACACTGTAGCTATTAGAATTGAAGTAATGTAAAGATACTTCACTATTATACCTTCTAATGGTTCACTCACGAACGCGCAGAACTTTGTGTAAACAAACCACGTACAAAGTAAAGAACGAAAGTAAGGGACGTTATTCTAAATGACAATGATGACACTGTTGATCGAATAGTAGACAATATGCCTGTTCAAGTCTGATGTATACTGGCTCAGTTTGACAATACATTTTTGTGTTTATAAAAAAGTTAAGTTAATTGTGAAAACACTAACATTGACACCCCAAAAACTTGTTAGGGAAACAGCGCACCCACGAGTGTGCCATAATGTCGAGCTTGTCAAGTTTGTTTTGTTATTCATATATCCAATATATTTTATTAATAATCAACGGACATAAATATATTGTCAAGTTATTTGTATTTAGAGCATTTAATTATGTTTTATATCTTACAAGATCCTTAATTCTTTTAAAATTTGAAAGTGTCACGCTGATTTTCGTTCACAAAGGGAAATAATTTAGGAATTGTCAAGTTATGTTGTCCAACATGTAACACGCCATCAGTTAACGTGAACATACAGATTATGATGTCCTGTTCTATCATAGTACATAAAGTTGACCTTTTGACTTGATTTGTCTTTAATCAAATCTATTCCCAAACGCAGTCACGAGTGTCTATATTTTTTAACATAAAAAGGGTAAATGTACACATACATTTTGGAAAGACCAAAACCAATTATTATTTTAAAATCGGTACATTGAATTCAAAATTTAGAGATTACTTTGGTAAAAATAGAATGCTATTTTATATTGATCGGCAAACTTCAATCAATAAATATTTAATGTCATAAGATTGGACAGTGAATTTTTTACAATGTTCAAACTATGGTTCTTTTCCTTTGTGCATGGGATCTCTCCTTAAGTTTTGTTGTCAACATAATAAGGTGCTGTATATATTAAGGAATATGCCGTTAATCTAAGCAGTTTCCTATTTTTAAAGAAAGCAGTTGTTCAACAGACAATATTTAATTAGTTGGCATCAAATACTTATCTGTCAATAATGGGTAGGTTTTTAAAAGGAAACAAGATACAAATTTTTTCCAATTTACAAATATTTTAGCATGTGCATCTCCTTGTTAAAGGGACACTGATCTCTGGCTTTTCCCGACACTGCCCGCTAGGGATCACAAGCTGCCTTGAGTGGAATTGCTCGCTAACGCAACTGAGCGTGACCAGAGACTGGGCTACTGTCTGAAGGGCAGCGTAAAACACTTTGAGGCACTATATATACGCATTTCTGAACACTGATTGGTTACCCGTGATCTATGAAGATATAGATTTAGATTTGTTTTTTTATTCATTCTATTGATAACAAAAACCATTTGTCGCGATTTTCAGATACACATTTATCATATACTTCACTGTGAAAGACTGAGTTTTCCGAAGTCGAGAAAGGGATATGTTCATTGCAGGGAACATAACACTTTGACGGAACTATTAATATTGTCATACAAGAGTGACCTCCCCTCAAATTGTCTCCCTTTGTCTTAAGTGTCTATCCCGTTCACAAACTGTTAACTTCCTTTATATGTTGATACATTGTTCCACATTGACAAGGCAAAATAATGACAGATGGCTTATGGAGTTAATATCGCTTCACAGCGTTTGCTATTCTCTCGAAAATGTTCCGTATAAAACTGTAAATTTCTCCCTTAGCTCGTCAATCGAGACCGTTGGTTTCGCAAAGCGCCATTTTAGTTACTTGACCAGCATTTATTCTTTCATTTCTATCAGCGGTCTCGAATTTTTCAAAAATATTTTTTGTTAAAGTTGATTTTGTATATAATCATATATGTATGTATGATGCAGAATTTTACGTGACCCTTAATATTCTTTTGTGACTTTTGTTTATATTTTTATGATTTTGCAGACACGAAACTACTTTTTTATCCGCAAATACAAGAGGTGGTGACCCGTCCTTGTGTGTTAGGTAGGTTTTACATTTGTAATGAATTTAACACAAAAAGTACATAATAAATAGGTTATTCCATGTATCGAGTGAAATATCATGTGTCTCTCATCTCGTTAATGGGGAAGAGGCGATATTTTCACTCGTTGCTACGCCACTCCTTTCCCCCCTTCAAACGATGAGAGAAACATGATATTTCACTCGACACATGAAATATCCTCTATGACTTCATTTCATAGTGCTCATGAAAATAAGCTTCAAAATCTCATCAACACGGATTCATGTCATCGAGGTAAATCAATATGGCAGTTGATGGTTCCCCCAGACCACAAGGTCAATGTCGAAGTATGCCACTCGTCACTACGTACAACGTCTTGGCGTGTAAGAAAAATGGACACCAGGTACCTTTCTCATGCAGTTCCTTTTGGCTTTATGCACGTAACTTATATTATGGATTTTTTAATTAGACTTACAACGTAGACACATTAAATGAAGTATGCGTTCTGATGACGAAAGTATCTTTAAGCGCGTTTTGTTCATCAGCATGTGAAAAAGGTTCTGCGTGTTACATTTAGGTCTGCCCTTGTCATTTTAATCTATACCATTAACAGAAATGCAATCTTATACATATACATAAATGTACATGCATCTGAACCACAATTGTGAACTTAATCAACCAAAGAAATGCCCGAACAATATGCAATAAATTCAACATGCATTTATCCATGGATATCTATGTGCATAGGACTATTACGCGTGTGCGTATGGGATAATTATCCTGTATTGAGAATACGCATTCATTGTAATCAGTGAGTTTGGGGATATTTAACCTCTTCATGATATATTGTCATTCTTATATTAAATCTGAGTGATCTTATGAATGAAGCATTGTTATTAATTAACTTCAAAATCTATTCAATGACCAACATGTATGGCGATACTGTATGCTTGAAATGCGAATGTCAATCGTCAGCTATCTGGTATTTATACTCAAAAGCCAATATAACTGTGGTCATGTTCTTCTATATCTTTCTGTAATTTTGTTTAAGAATCACGTAAATACAAAATCTTATTCTTGAAAATGTTAATATACAAGATTTAATAGGACAGATTCCATGGGCGTTCTGGTATTGTCATAAAGTTAATCTAAACAGAATTCAAATTAAGTAAAATATTTTCCCCTAGCAATATCGTAGTTTATACGCAAGTGATGATGAAATATCTTAGTTATGGAGCAAATCAAAAAGTTAATACCATTTCAGTTATGTGTTTTTTACCTCAAAATACAGTACTGCATGTCATCAAAAATGTGTGTTTTAAACAGTACAAGGACACTTTTGACTTAGTAGTAGTTAAAGTATATTTTCCGAACACATGTACATTTATAAAACTAGTATTTCGTCCAATATAACTGATGATAAGATTTGCAAAGCAATGTGATCGCTCTGGACATACATGGAGTATAAATAAAGTTCTTTCACGTTTATTTTTATATATTTAGTTTGTTCGTATATTACTCCTATGTATTGCATTAAGTCTAGTATATGGTAGGAACTGTAGGATACAGTACATTTATCAGCCTCAATACGACCTATGTGATCCATAT